TGATTAGTCTTCTTTGGCTCCTCCAGGTGATAGCTCAGGTGCAAGGAGACAGGATTTTATCCACGGGTGTGGTGACAACCTTAGTTTAGAAATGCCCCATCCAGAGGCCGGGCGCGGTGGCTCAAGACTGTAATCCCAGCACTTCGGGAGGCTGAGGCAGGAGAATTGCCTGAACCCAGGAGGCGGAGGTTGCGGTGAGCCAAGATTGTGCCATTTTACTCCAACCTGGGTAACAAGAGCGAAACTCCGTCTCAAAAAAAAAAAAAGAAAAAGAAAAAGAAATGCCCCATCCAGCCAGGTGCGATGGCTCACGCCTGTAATCCCAGCACTTTGGGAGGCCGAGGTGGGCAATCACCTGAGGTCAGGAGTTCAAGAACAACCTGGCCAACATAGCAAAACCATGTCTCTACTAAAAATACAAAACAATTAGCCAGGTGTGGTGGCACATGCCTGTACTCCCAGCTACCCGGAGGCTGAAGCACCTGAATTGCTTGAACCCGGGAGGCAGAGGTTTGCAGTGAGCTGAGATCACACCACTGCACTTCAGCCTGGGCAACAGAGCAAGACTCCGTCTGGATTAAAAAAAAAAGGAGAAATGCCGTGTCCCAAATAGGCATTATATCTAGTGTCTCATGAGCATAGTTATCAGGTTCTCCACAGGCAATGAACCAGTTACAAGTGTCACTGCAATCAGAGTGGCCCAAAGCTATGTTCTCATCAGGTACTTACGTATCCTGGCCCAGAAGAAGTTTACCCGTCAGGAATTATTTTTACGATGAGCAATGCTGTCTAATACCACAGCTGACATTGCCCCTTTTATAGACTTCCAGGGGCAGATAGATGGAAAGTTAACCCAAATTTGAAGTCTTAAGAGAAGAAGAAGGGAAAGACCCTTAATTATACTTTTCTTTTCTTTTTAAAAATGGGGTTTCACCATCATGGCCAGGCTGGTCTTGAACTCCTGACCTCAGGTGATCCACCCACCTCGGCCTCCCAAAGTGCTAGGATTACAGGCATGAGCCACTTTGCCTGACCTCTTTTTTTTTTTTTTTTTTGCCAGAGTCTCTCTCTATCACCCAGGCAGTGGTTTGATCTGCAACCTCCGCGTCCCTGGTTCAAGCAATTTTCCTGCCTCAGCCTCCCAAGTAGCTGGGATTACAGGCATTTGCCACCACACTCAGCTAATTTTTTTTTTATTTTTAGTAGAGACAGGGTTTCACCATGTTGGCCAGGCTGGTCTTGAACTTCTGACCTTAGGTGATCTGCCCGGCTCAGCCTCCCAAAGTGCTGGCATTATAAGTGTGAGCCACTGTGCCCCGCAAATACACTTTTTTTAGCTGACACATTGACCTGAATAGAGCATTAACCAACAAGATTATTTCTGAAAATGTCCCTGTTCCTTGAGCCAAAAAACAGTATTTGGCACATGAAGATGCTGAATTAATGTCTGTCAATGAGTGAATTAATGACAAATAACAACATTAGCAGGTTACATTCAACCAAAACCAAACCAAATCAGTCAAAACGATTTGATTACTCTGTTATCTTCGGCAAGTCTTAATTTCTCAAAATCGCTGCTACTTCTTTTATAAAATGGGAGTAATAATGGTCCTCCTTATGAGGATTAAATGAAGTAATGTATATAAAAGACACTACAAAGAGCTGCACTTAAACCTTATTCTTATTGATGGAGAAGGGAGGCCTAGAGAGAGGGTGGGACTTGCAGTGGCAGGACATAGGGTGGCACAAACTGTGGAGGCCTACTGACTCTCTCAGTCCAGAGCATTTTCCACAATGTCATGTGGCCTCATCATCCAAACCATCTTGCCCAGTTAATGTTTAGAAATCTCAAACAAATTAGGATTTTTGTCCAGGAGAGAGAACATGTACGAAGGTCCACTTTGCACTGTGGACCTGGTGTTAAGGGTGTTCTTGATGTTAAGGGTGAAATCAAGATTTTTCTCAAGGGCATAAGAAAAAGTGAAAATTATGTTCCCAGCTTGCTGCTGATTAGCAGACATAGGGCAAACAGAACCTCTAAGGAGGCTGGGTGCGATGGCTCAAGCCTGTAATACCAGCACTTTGGGAGGCCAAGGCAGGCAGATCACCTGGGGTCGGGAGTTCAAGACCAGCCCGACCAATATGGAGAAACTCCATCTCTACTAAAAATACAAGATTATCTGGGTGTGGTGGTGCATGCCTGTAATCCCAGCTATTTGGGAGGCTGAGCCAGGAGAATTACTAGAACCCAGGAGCGAGAGGTTTCAGTGAGCCAAGATCGTGCCACTGCACTCCAGCCTGAGAAACAAGAGTGAAACTCCATCTTGAAAAAAAAAATAGAACCTCTAAGCATTAATTCTTCAAGGCTCTGTTTCCTTTTTCCTTCCCAACAGCCTCTGCAGAGAGCAGGATATGAAAAGCAATATGATCAGAATGTAATGAAGGAACAAATCTCACTGGGAGTCAAATACCATTGTTAAAAAAAAAAAGGCACCATGGGCAGAAGCCCAAAAATCAGAGGCTTCCCCCAGTGTTCTTTGAATCCATTTTTTAAGCTGTTAAAAACACCCTTAAAATAAACCTGCCATCTTGTGAGGACAGGAAGAAGGTTACCCGTCTTCCCGCCACCATCTGCAGACTGGCTCAGCTTTAGGCTTCTTTGAGCCACACTCCCCCACCCCCAGCCTGTTCTTTATAACATGTCAGGGTGGGGTTGATTGTAGTCTCTTTCCCTAACTAAGCAAAATGCAGTAAGAATTAGAATTTGAGGTGAATCAAGGAGAGACTATGGAGATAGTAGTTTACTTTACAACGCCATTTTATTCTTGCAGTTTGACATCTTCTAATGATTTCTGACACTGTGCTTGGCCCACTTGTGCTTATCAGTATGATTTCGGATCAGATCTGTTTAAACCTCTATCTAGGATGAAAGCTTAGTCTGTTGCTGGGGTAATGACTCAGACTATGGTTGGGACCAGGGTTCACCCTGTAGCTGTGATTAGGGCTCACTTCCTGGGGCTAAGAGCATAGTCTATAATTAGGATAGAGACCAGTCTGTGTTTAGCATTAGGGCTTAGTCTGGGCTGGAATCAGGTCTCTGCCTATGCAGAGATCAGATTTGTTTGTGGTGAGCTCTAGGATTCAATCAGCTCATAACAGTATAAGGCTCCATTCCAGGAAAGAAAGGACAGGAAGTGTTGGTCAGGAGTCCAAAGTCCATCAAGGGTTTATCAGACCAGAAGACTGAGCAGATGGGAAACCAAGAAACCAAGAGAGGTTTAAAATAGTGACCCCCACCAAAAAGGCAAAAGTTAAAATGACTGACAATAGCAAGAGTCTGTGAGGATGTGGAACAACTGGAATTTTTTTGTGTGTGTGGAGACAAAGTCTCGCTCTGTTGGCCAGGCTGGAGTGCAGTGGCACGATCATAGCTCACTGCAGCCTCAAACGCCTTGGTTCAAGTGATCCTCCTGCCTCAGACTTCCGAAGTGCCAGAACTACAAGCTGAGCCACTGTACCCTGCCCAACAACTGAAACTTTTTTCACATTGCTAGTGGGAGTATAAGTTGTACAACTACATTGGACAACTGCTTGGCAGTATATATAGAGTTAAATATACATATATATGCCCTATGACTCAGCACTTTCAATCCTGGAATGAACGAACAACTGCTGCATACAACAACATGGATAAATCTCACAAAATAGTGTCAAGCAAAAGAAACCAGACACAAATAGACACCGTATGATTCCATTGATACGAAATTTAAAAACAGGCAAAATTAATTTATGATAGTAGGAATCAGAAGAGTAGTTACATTTAGGAGGTGGTGTGGACAGGAGGAGCCTTCTGGAGAGATGGTATGATCTGTATCTTGATCTGAATGATGGTTACACAGGTGAACATATACAAAAATTCACTGAGCTGAATATTTAATGTTTGTTGAGGAGTTAATTCCACAGTCATGACTTTCCTGCTATGGCGATTGTGATGTTACTATCATGGCTTGTTGAGACAGGGGGTGGTGCTGGAGGTCCTGGGCTTGCAAGAGTGCAGTCCTTGAAACAACCATACTGGGCAATGATGTAGTATTAAAAGTCATGGACGGCTGGGCGTGGTGGCTCACGCCTGTAATCCCAGCACTTTGGGACACCAAGGCGGGCCGATCACATGAGGTCAGGAGTTTGAGACCAGCCTGGCCTACATGGCGACATCTGTCTGTACTTTAAAAATACAAAAATTAGCCAGGCATGGTGGTGCACATCTATAGTCCCAGCTACTTAAGTGGCTGAGGTGCAAGAATTGCTTGAACCTGGGAGGCAAAGTTGCAGTGAGTTGAGATCGCACCACTGCACTCCAGCCTGGGTGATACCCCACCTCCCAAAAAAGCCCTGGACTTGGAGTCCTGACTTTGATTGTCAGCACTCTGCTTAGCATCTACTGCAGTTGGAAGCAATAGTATGTTGTGATCAGTCATGAGGTAAGTTACACATTATTCATTGATAATTTTAAATAACGCTGGGCACGGTGGCTCACGCCTGTAATCCCAGTACTTTGGGAAGCCAAGGTGGGTGGATTGCTTGAGGTCAGGAGTTTGAGACCAGCATGGCCAACATGGTGAAACCCCATCTCTATTAAAAAAATAAATAAGGCTGGGTGCGGTGGCTCAAGCCTGTAATCCCAGCACTTTGGGAGGCCAAGGCGGGTGGATCACGAGGTCAAGAGATCGAGACCATCCTGGTCAACATGGTGAAACCCCGTCTCTACTAAAAATACAAATATTAGCTGGGCATGGTGGTGCGTGCCTGTAGTTCCAGCTACTCGGGAGGCTGAGGCAGGAGAACTGCTTGAACCCAGGAGGCGGAGGTTGCGGTGAGCCGAGATCGCGCCATTGCACTCCAGCCTGGGTACCAAGATCGAAAACTCCGTCTCAAAAAAAAAAAAAAAAAATAATAATAATAAATAAATAAATAAAAATTTTGTAATGGCATTTTTTGGGGGTATATAAGCTATTTATTAACAGACAAGGCCTACAGACTTATTTCTTCTTGGACACACCCACGGTGCGGCCATGGCGGCCAGTAGTCTTGGTTTGCTGGCCTCAGACACGAAGGCCCCAGAAGTGGTGTAGCCCTCTATGGGCCCGAATCTTCTTCAGTTGCTCCAGGTCTTCACAGAGCTTGTTGTCCAGACCATTGGCTAGGACCTGGTTATATTTTCCGTCCTTTATATCCCTGTCTGTTCAAGAACCAGTCTGGGATCTTGTACTGGCGTGGATTCTGCATAATGGTGATCACACGTTCCACCTCATCCTCAGTGAGTTCTCCTGCCCTCTTGGTGAAGGCAATGTCTGCTTTCCTCAACACCACATGAGCGTGTCTTCGGTCCACGCCCTTAATGGTAGTGATGGCAAAGGCTATTTTCCGCCGGCCATCAATGTTGGTGTTGAGTACTCGCAAAATATCCTGGAACTTTTCAGGGATCACTAGAGACATGGTGGCAGCACAAGAGGCGGTGTGTAGGCCTACTGTGGAAGCATCACTGTAGCTTTTTAAAATTTTATTTTAATTTGGCTGGGTGCGGTGGCTCACGCCTATAATCCCAGCACTTTGGGAGGCCGAGGCGGGTGGATCACGAGGTCAAGAGATCTGGTCAACAAGGTGAAACACCGTCTCTACTAAAAATACAAAAATTAGCTGGGCATGGTGGCGAGCGCCTGTAGTCCCAGCTACTCGGGAGGCTGAGGCAGGAGAATTGCTTGAATCCAGGAGGTCGAAGTTGCGGTGAGCCGAGATCATGCTATTGCACTCCAGCCTGTGTAACAAGAGCGAAACTCCATCTCAAAACAAAAACCAAAAAAACCCACAAAATTTTATTTTATTTGAATTCATAATACATGCATTTCGTTAAAAACAAATTAAATCTTATATATAGCATAAAGGTCATTTTCTTCCCATCCCTGACTCCAAAAACAAGTCCCCAAGTCTCTCTTCAGAGGCAACCACTGTCATCAGCTTCTTGAAGATACTTCCAGAAACAGTCTATGCATATTCATGAATGATTTCCTTGAAGAAAATCAGAGATTAAAGACACGCCTATAATAACGTTGCTTGCACACCAAATGCTTTATTTTAATAATTTTCAAAATGAAATTGTTTTTATTATTAAAATAATGTGTGCTTTTAAAAAATTGTATAAAGTAAAAGTGAAAGCTTTCACTTTCCATTCTTTTTTTTTTTATTGAGACAGAGTCTCACCCTGTCACCCAGGCTGGAGTGCAGTGGTTCGGTCTCGGCTCACTGCAACCTCTGCCTCCTGGGTTCAAGTGATTCTCCTGCCTCAGCCTCCCCAGTAGCTGGGACTACAGGTGCGTGCCACTCTACCTGGCTATTTTTTGTATTTTCAGTGGAGACGGAGTTTCACCATGTTAGCCAGGCTGGTCTTGAACTCCTGACCTCAAGTGATCCACCCACCCTGGCCTCCCAAAGTGCCGGAATTACAAACATGAGCCATTATGCCTGACCAGGGTCTAAAGTCTTAATAACCAGCACTAATAATAATGACCTCTCTTTTACTCCTTAGCCAAATGAACTATTCATCTTTGGATAATAATTGTGAACATATGTTGAGTTCTTACTTCGCTAGGCTTTCTTCTGAGACATATACAATTATTATACAATATATATGTAAAATGTTATATATTATATATATATGCATATACTCATTTAATCCTTGTAACAACTCCTTGGTACTCTTATAATCCTCATTCAACTGAGGAGGCAACTAAGGCTGACACAGCTGGCAAGTGGCAGTCTTACTTCGGAACCACACCAAACTGTGCTATTCATTTCGAAGGTTTTTGTCATGCTACAACTGGCTATGTGGGGCTGTTACTTAAAGAGGCTGTGTGGGGAGTTGGGGAGAGACAGCATGGGAGGAAATGCCAGATATAGGTGATGGGGAGGAAAGCAGCAAATCACACTGCCATAAGAAAAAAAAAAAAGAGGCAGCTGAGAGTATGCATTGGAGAAAAAAGTGGTTCATTTTTCTGGCACTAAAAAATAAAAGGCAACCAATGACAAAAACCCTGAGTCTTACAGACTGTCACATGACAGTCTTCTTTGAGACCCTTCCTGGTTCCCCTCTACTAAACAAAGCCAAGATCCTCAGCCTGGTGTCCTAGAGCCTCCTCAGTCTTGTCTAGAAAGGCCTTTCTCAGGCTGGGCGTGGTGGCTCAAGCCTGTAATCCCAGCACTTTGGGAGGCCGAGGTGGGTGGATCATGAGGTCAAGAGATCGAGACCATCCTGGTCAACATGGTGAAACCCCCATCTCTACTAAAAATACAAAAAAATTAGCTGGGCATGGTGGCATGTGCCTGTAATCCCAGCTACTTAGGAGGCTGAGGCAGGAGAATTGCCTGAACCCAGGAGGCAGAGGTTGTGGGGAGCCAAGATCGCGCCATTGCACTCCAGCCTGGGTAACAAGAGCAAAACTCCGTCTCAAAAAAAAAAAAAGAAAAGAAAAAGAAAGTGCTTTCTCTTATACTATAGAAACTTCTTTTTTTTTTTTTTTAGGCACCAAATCTCATTCTCTTGCCCAGGCTGGAGTGCAATGGTGCAACCTCAGCTTACTGCAACCTCCACCTCTCGGTTCTAGCAATTCCCTGCCTCAGCCTCCCAAGTAGCTGGGACTACAGGCGCATGCCGCTACGCCCAGCTAATTTTTGTATTTTAGTAGAGACGGGGTTTCACCATGTGGCCCAGGCTGGTCTTGAACCCCTGAGCTCAGGCAATCCACCCACTTTGGCCTCCCAAAGAGCTATGATTATAGGTGTGAGCCACCGTGCCGGTCCTACTACAGGAACTTCTAAAACCATCTCCCCTATCGTTTCATACCCATCTGGGAGGCTGTTATGGGATGAATTGTGTCCCCTAAAAAAGATATGTTGGGGCCGGGCGCGGTGGCTCAAGCCTGTAATCCCAGCACTTTGGGAGGCTGAGGTGGGTGGATCATGAGGTCAAGAGATCAAGACCATCCTGGTCAACATGGTGAAACTCCATCTCTACTAAAAATACAAAAAAATTAGCTGGGCATGGTGGTGCATGCCTGTAATCCCAGCTACTCAGGAGGCTGAGGCAGGAGAATTGCCTGAACCCAGGAGGTGGAGGTTGCGGTGAGCCGAGATCGCGCCATTGCACTCCAGCCTGGGTAACAAGAGCGAAACTCCATCTCAAAAAAAAAAAGATATGTTGAAGTCCAAACCCCCATTCCAGAGTGTGAGCTTATTTGGAAACAGGGTCACTGCAGAAGTAATTAGTTAAGATGAAGTCATACTGGAGCAAGGGTGGGCTCCTAGTCTAATACGACTAGTGCCCTTACATGAAGAAGGCCACATGAAAACAGAGGCAATCAGAGAGAACGGTATATGACTACGGAAGCAGAGCTTGGAGTTAAGTGGCTGTAAGTCAAGGAATGTTGAAGATTGCCTGCACATCACCAGGAGCTAGGAAGAGGTAAGGACGTTCCCCAGCAGGTTGCAAGTGGGTACGGCCCTGCTGACACCTTGATTTTGGACCTCTAGCCTCCAGAACTGTGAGACAATAAATTTCTGTTGTTTTGAGCCATCCAGTTTGTAGCATTTTGTTACAGCAGCCCTAGGAAACTAATACAGAGCCTTGTCCAGTTAACCCCAACACTGCAGATCTGAGTCCAAGATGTACGGGGACTTCTTTCTCCTGTTCCATTTCTTTGCTCTTAGCAGGAAGTGGCATCCTTGGCTGCTTGCTTTCACAACACACTCATGACATTCCCCCAGCCTCTTAATGCACACAGCCTACCAGTAGTCTGTTTACTTCCCGACATGCCCTGTGCAGGTCTGGTACAGGTCCCCGGCCCCCTGCCTCTTCCTGGCTCAGGGCCAGCCCAACCTCTCTGGGGAGACAGTAGATTGAAGCCCCCTTCTGGGTTGCCTAGGTGACAGTGCCGTCTGAGTGCCCTGGAGCCAGGCAGCTGTGGCTGCAGGGAAGAGAGGGACCAAGGGAAGCTGGGGTCAGAAAGGAGGATTAGGGGAAAGACCCAAGGAGAGTCCTATAGAGTGGCTCTAGAACAAACACAAAAGATAAAATTAAAACTGCAGAATCACCATAACCAGTGTTATTGAGCAATATGCCAGACTTGAGATGAAGAGGGAAAGACTTTCCTCAGGGAATTCTATACAGAGTTTAGGTCTATGGGTCTCGGAGTCCAAGCCCCATTCAAACCTATGCTTTGAGGTCTTTTGGCAGCACAAAAGATCAAAAGATGATAAACCCCAGGCAAACAGGGACTAGCATTTTGCACAGCAAGGGCAAGTCTTCTATAAACTGCAATAAGGTACACAGTGAATGAAGAAAGATGCTTGCAGTTTTTTGGTTCACAATAAGTGATGTCTGCTCTGTGCGGGGAAACATGCTGGATGCTGTGTATGAAGTATAAGGGTACAGAGAGAAACACAATGCCATGCTTGCCCTCAAGAAGCCCATAGTTGCCGGGCGCGGTGGCTCATGCCTGTAATCCCAGCACTTTGGGAGGCCGAGGCGGGTGGATCACGAGGTCAAGAGATCGAGACCATCCTGGTCAACATGGTGAAACCCCGTCTCTACTAAAAATACAAAAAATTAGCTGGGCGTGGTGGCGCATGCCTGTAATCCCAGCTACTCAGGAGGCTGAGGCAGGAGAATTGCCTGAACCCAGGAGGTGGAGGTTGCGGTGAGCCGAGATCTCGCCATTGCACTCCAGCCTGGGTAACAAGAGCGAAACTCTGTCTCAAAAAAAAAAAAAAAAAAAAAGCCCATAGTCCTTTCTTAATCATTATTTCAAGAATGGACTTCTGCCTGGTGCGGTGGCTCATGCCTGTAATCCCAGCACTTTGGGAAGCTGAGGTGGGTAGATCACCTGAGGTCAGGAGTTCGAGACAAGCCTGTCCAACATGGTGAAATTCCATCTTTACGGAAAATACAAAAAATTAGCCTGGTGTGGTAGTGCATGCCTATAGTCCCAGCCACTCAGGAGGCTGGGGCAGGAGGATCTCTTGAACCCGGTAGGTGGAGGTTGCAGTAAGCTGACATCGCACCACTGGGCAACACCAGATTCAATCTAAAAAAAAAAAGAATGGAGTTCTATCATAGCAAGCTGGAATGCTCCAAGGTGATTCTTCTCAGTCCAGGGGTTACAGAGGGCTTCAGAGAGGCATGGGACTCAATCCTAAATCAATCAGATCATCACATCTCCATAGATCAGTACAAGGTAAGCATATATCCAAATTTAGCTGATGAAAAGTAGTGACACTTTTTGTTAGAATTGCTGAGAGGGGCCGGGCGCGGTGGCTCACGCCTATAATCCCAGCACTTTGGGAGGCTGAGACGGGTGGATCACTAGATCAAGAGATCGAGACCATCCTGGTCAACATGGTGAAACCACGTCTCTAAAAAAAAAGAAAAAAAAAAAAAGGATTGCTGAGATGG